ACCTCATTTGGTAATCATGCCCATGACAAAAACAGCAGCATCATTGTCGGCTCATGAGGAAGGCCTTTCTCATTGGGGACTCCCTTGGCTTTGGACTGGAACACAGTCACTAGAGTCCATGCAATTAGAAAGCGCCCACATGGCAGATGCACGCAATCTTTTATGGCATTTTTTGGGGGCTTGGGGGATTCTTGAGTAGTGCAAGATTTTGCCCAGCAACTGTACAAGCGTGTAAAACCCAGCGCCTGGTTTCGTTTGCCTCTCACTGCCATGAGGCTGAGACAACCCCTCACACCAGGAAAACAACAAAAACACACACCACCCTAAACCCCAAGCCCTAAACCCTATAATCCTAAACCCTATAACCCTCAATCCTCAACCCCAAACCTTAAGCCCTAAGCCCTAAAACCTAAACCTCAAACCCTAAGCCCTAAGCCCTAAACCCTAAGCCCCTAAACCCTAAGCCCTAAACCCTACTCATAATGGTCATCCAAAGGCTCTGGCTGACTACAGAATATTTCAACGTTCAGGCAAGCATCAGTCACGATAGTCTCGTTCCATTCCAGGTGGACCTCAGATATGTAAACTGCTTTGGTTTGGGGTTTGGGTTGACGGCAAAATTGGGGGCATCTGTACACACGAAGACCTATGCAAGGGAGACTCCTACATAGAAAATACCTACACGACATGTTTTCACACATCGTCATCCTCACCGAAATTTGGATATGCTTGATTTGCAGAAGAAGCACCATGATTGTCCTGAGCTAGACACATCTGGAAGCTCACCTTGGTAACCCTTAGCCTACAGCATGATGCCAGGTGCCAACTGCAGGGTGGGATACGGCAGACTCCGTTGCGGCATGGCCGTTCACTCCACGACACCCCAAGGTGGGAAAGTTACAGGGTGGGTACCCCATAGAAAGCTCATATAACGCTCCTACAAGGGTAATGGGGCTGCATGAGGTCTATAGAGGACTCTTTCAAGGGTAGGGGTCTGATAACTGCCCACCTGGAAGTTTCCTCGGTTCTGGGCAGCTCGAGAAATTGGATGAAAAGCTTTCCATTTCAAAGAACACTACCATCTTCTGGTGACCTACATAGCGCAAAGCTCTCACCATACTGAAGCCAGTTGTAATATGAACGGTACCTGAAACCCCGAACCTCACAATAAGTTCTCCGAGCGGAGGGCTGCCACCTGGAAGACTGCTTTTAAACGGGCAAAACTAATCTTGACAAGGGCCCACCAGAAGAAGATTTATAATGAATTAAGCGGGGGGTGTGGATCTAGAAAGTTTAGTTAAGGTTTCATTGTTTGATTTCAAAGGAGATATTGGCTTCTGAGAGATGGAAACTACATGTATAACTAGTACTCGGGGCGGATTTTGTATTGGGGAGGGAGCGGGGACGTCGTTTATTGGTGGGAAGCGATTTCAATCATTGCCTTATGGGTCACTTGTATGGGTTTGGGGCCATTTGAGGCTACTTTTGAAGTCCGGGTCGCTTTACTGTTCACAGCTTGGATCAATTTCCCGTGCGGTCCCGGTCACAGCTAGGGAGCACAATGTGCCCATAGAAAAAACAGGTTAAATCCAGCGGGAATGACGCAACCTTCAAACGCCCTACTGTAAAAGCTAGCAAATCCTAGCAGAAGTGCCTTCGCTTCACCTCGAGAAGCCCCGCCACCCTCCTAGTGATCAATGTTCCTGCGATTTAGGTAGACGGCACTATTTTGCAAAAAATGTACTCGAGGGGTTGGAGGGGGTCAGTCTTGCGGGAAGGCATTGATGCTCTAAAACATGGATCATTCTGAACCTTCCTTCTGTTAACCTAGATGATCAAGCGGCTTCGGTGACCCCAACCCCCAAAACTGAGGACACTTCTCTGGCTATCGTATGGATATGGCTCTTGTGAGATCTTCATTTTGGAGGTTTGGGCTACCATGGGCTGCCCTAAACCCTAAACCCTTAACAACCCTTTACCAGATGAACTGCGCCGAGTCACGCTGGAAGAAGTACGGGTGTCGCCGATCCCTTCCTCCTGGCAGCAAAATGAACGCTGTTTAGGGTTCAGGCCATTGCCTTAGATCTTTCTCTTCCAGCTCGCAATGGCCAAGCTGTTGTGTGGTTCCCGCCAGCTGGAACCCGAGAGTTCCAACGCTGGCCCGGCACACAACCCCCACGGTGTGGTTCAGGGTAACCAGCGTAACCAGTATTCAGGGTTCAGGGTGGCGCAAGGACACCATCCAAAATCTACACCTCCCCAAACGAGGATGTAACACCAGGGATCCTATAAAGAATATAGCATCGTTTCTTAAAGGGGGTATGTCATGCGGGGTTCCATGTTAGTAAGGCTTTGAGTTCTGGACACGATTGATGAACTCGATTCGGCGGCGGTGGGTCTGGCGTAACTATGACAAGTTGCATGGGCCATGGATTTGAGAAATGGTCATTAATTTGAGAAATATTCAGTTCTGCAAGCCTTTATGTGCGGGATGCCCAACAGGTACGCTGGGGCACCAGCGCTAGCAGCCAGAATGAGACCACAGGGGTGGAGACGGGGGGGTGGAGGGGGGGTTCCGGTCGAAGTAGCACGTCGCCCTTGTTCAGAATGATCATTCCTTGGGTACTGCCCCCCCCCCCCCAGTAACAGTCTATATTGGGGGTCCTATTAAGGGCGATATATGACCATATGATACTTATTATCCAACTGTTAGTGACGTGGGGCAGTACCCACATCATTCCAAATCTTCCCAAGTATTGACAGCTAGAGAAGATGATCGACAAACCACATGTTCGCAAGCTCTGTGGATCACTGAGTACCGTCCTGGCATAACGGTCCATGTACCCTCGGCTTTCCCAAAAGAAGCATACCGTGGGCTTTAGGGTTTACACTCAAGGTCCTTGTGCCCAACTGTACTTGGGTTTTTAGATTTTCGGGCTACAGTGGTCATTGTAAAAAAGAGCTTGAGGAAGTATATGGTTATTTGAGCCCTAATCTAAACTCCTAGTATCCCCCTTAATAAACCCTATAGTAGCCCGTTTATAATCCCCTAAATAACCCCCTTTTAAGGAGTTNNGGAGTTTAGACTATAGCTTGTTTGGTACTTGAACCTCAGGGAAGGGTGGACTTCCACGTGGAGATTTCCATGTGCTGAGGCTGTTTCACAGCCCAGGGCGTGAAACCCTTAACCCTGAGCCCCCACTCTGACCCTAAATCTTGAACCTTTAGTTTAGGGTTTAGGGTT